TTAGAGAATTTTTAACATTTTTCTTATTGAAATATTGATTTTTTCAAAAATTTTTTAAAAAACTTCCAAAATTATTCCAGAAATATGACTACCGGAATCCTGTTAAGGACCCTTTAGGCTACTACACCTATATAGTGGTATACGTGTGCAATTCCATATTTGTCCAAATTGGACACCAATCTTTTAGAGAATTTTAACATTTTTCTTATTGAAATATTGATTTTTTCAAAAATTTTTTAAAAAACTTCCAAAACTATTCCAGACATATGACTACCAGAATCCTGTTAGGGACCCTTTAGACTACTACTCCTATATAGTGGTATATGTGTGCATTTCCATATTTGTCCAAATTGGACACCAATCCTTTAGAGAATTTTAACATTTTTCTTATTGAAATATTGATTTTTTCAAAAATTTTTTAAAAAACTTCCAAAACTATTCCAGACATATAACTACCAGAATCCTGTTAGGGACCCTTTAGACTACTACTCCTATATAGAGGTATACGTGTGCATTTCCATATTTGTCCAAATTGGACACCAATCCTTTAGAGAATTTTTAACATTTTTCTTATTGAAATATTGATTTTTTCAAAAATTTTTTAAAAAACTTCCAAAATTATTCCAGAAATATGACTACCAGAATCCTGTTAGGGACCCTTTAGACTACTACTCCTATATAGTGGTATACGTGTGCATTTCCATATTTGTCCAAATTGGACACCAATCCTTTAGAGAATTTTTAACATTTTTCTTATTGAAATATTGATTTTTTCAAAAATTTTTTAAAAAACTTCCAAAATTATTCCAGAAATATGACTCCCGGAATCCTGTTAAGGACCCTTTGGACTATTACTCCTATATAGTGGTATACGTGTGCATTTCCATATTTGTCCAAATTGGACACCAATCCTTTAGAGAATTTTTAACATTTTTCTTATTGAAATATTGATTTTTTCAAAAATTTTTTAAAAAACTTCCAAAACTATTCCTGACATATGACTACCAGAATCCTGTTAGGGACCCTTTAGACTACTACTCCTATATAGTGGTATACGTGTGCATTTCCATATTTGTCCAAATTGGACACCAATCCTTTAGAGAATTTTTTGTATTACTTCTTTAAATATATTGATATTTTTAAAAATTTTTTAAAAAACTTCCAAAATTATTCCAGAAATATGACTACCGGAATCCTGTTAAGGACCCTTTAGGCTACTACTCCTATATAGTGGTATACGTGTGCATTTCCATATTTGTCCAAATTGGACACCAATCCTTTAGAGAATTTTAACATTTTTCTTATTGAAATATTGATTTTTTCAAAAATTCTTTAAAAAACTTCCAAAATTATTCCAGACATATGACTACCAGAATCCTGTTAGGGACCCTTTAGGCTACTACTCCTATATAGTGGTATGCGTGTGCATTTCCATATTTGTCCAAATTGGACACCAATCCTTTAGAGAATTTTTAACATTTTTCTTATTGAAATATTGATTTTTTCAAAAATTTTTTTAAAAACTTCCAAAACTATTCCAGACATATGACTACCAGAATCCTGTTAAGGACCCTTTAGGCTACTACTCCTATATAGTGGTATACGTGTGCATTTCCATATTTCCATATTTGTCCAAATTGGACACCAATCCTTTAGAGAATTTTAACATTTTTCTTATTGAAATATTGATTTTTTCAAAAATTTTTTAAAAAACTTCCAAAACTATTCCAGACATATGACTACCGGAATCCTGTTAAGGACCCTTTAGGCTACTACTCCTTTATAGTGGTATACGTGTGCATTTCCATATTTGTCCAAATTGGACACCAATCCTTTAGAGAATTTTAACATTTTTCTTATTGAAATATTGATTTTTTGAAAAATTTTTTAAAAAACTTCCAAAATTATTCCAGACATATGACTACCAGAATCCTGTTAGAGACCCTTTAGACTACTACTCCTATATAGTGGTATACGTGTGCATTTCCATATTTGTCCAAATTGGACACAAATCCTTTAGAGAATTTTTAACATTTTTCTTATTGAAATATTGATTTTTTCAAAAATTTTTTAAAAAACTTCCAAAACTATTCCAGACATACGACTACCAGAATCCTGTTAGGGACCCTTTAGACTACTACTCCTATATAGTGGTATACGTGTGCATTTCCATATTTGTCCAAATTGGACACCAATCCTTTAGAGAATTTTTAACATTTTTCTTATTGAAATATTGATTTTTTCAAAAATTTTTTAAAAAACTTCCAAAATTATTCCAGAAATATGACTCCCGGAATCCTGTTAAGGACCCTTTGGACTATTACTCCTATATAGTGGTATACGTGTGCATTTCCATATTTGTCCAAATTGGACACCAATCCTTTAGAGAATTTTTAACATTTTTCTTATTGAAATATTGATTTTTTCAAAAATTTTTTAAAAAACTTCCAAAACTATTCCTGACATATGACTACCAGAATCCTGTTAGGGACCCTTTAGACTACTACTCCTATAGTGGTATACGTGTGCATTTCCATATTTGTCCAAATTGGACACCAATCCTTTAGAGAATTTTTAACATTTTTCTTATTGAAATATTGATTTTTTCAAAAATTTTTTAAAAAACTTCCAAAACTATTCCTGACATATGACTACCAGAATCCTGTTAGGGACCCTTTAGACTACTACTCCTATATAGTGGTATACGTGTGCATTTCCATATTTGTCCAAATTGGACACCAATCCTTTAGAGAATTTTTTGTATTACTTCTTTAAATATATTGATATTTTTAAAAATTTTTTAAAAAACTTCCAAAATTATTCCAGAAATATGACTACCGGAATCCTGTTAAGGACCCTTTAGGCTACTACTCCTATATAGTGGTATACGTGTGCATTTCCATATTTGTCCAAATTGGACACCAATCCTTTAGAGAATTTTAACATTTTTCTTATTGAAATATTGATTTTTTCAAAAATTCTTTAAAAAACTTCCAAAATTATTCCAGACATATGACTACCAGAATCCTGTTAGGGACCCTTTAGGCTACTACACCTATATAGTGGTATACGTGTGCAATTCCATATTTGTCCAAATTGGACACCAATCTTTTAGAGAATTTTAACATTTTTCTTATTGAAATATTGATTTTTTCAAAAATTTTTTAAAAAACTTCCAAAACTATTCCAGACATATGACTACCAGAATCCTGTTAGGGACCCTTTAGACTACTACTCCTATATAGTGGTATATGTGTGCATTTCCATATTTGTCCAAATTGGACACCAATCCTTTAGAGAATTTTAACATTTTTCTTATTGAAATATTGATTTTTTCAAAAATTTTTTAAAAAACTTCCAAAACTATTCCAGACATATGACTACCGGAATCCTGTTAAGGACCCTTTAGGCTACTATTCCTATATAGTGGCATACGTGTGCATTTCCATATTTGTCCAAATTGGACACCAATCCTTTAGAGAATTTTAACATTTTTCTTATTGAAATATTGATTTTTTCAAAAATTTTTTAAAAAACTTCCAAAACTATTCCAGACATATGACTACCAGAATCCTGTTAGAGACCCTTTAGACTACTACTCCTATATAGTGGTATACGTGTGCATTTCCATATTTGTCCAAATTGGACACAAATCCTTTAGAGAATTTTTAACATTTTTCTTATTGAAATATTGATTTTTTCAAAAATTTTTTAAAAAACTTCCAAAACTATTCCAGACATACGACTACCAGAATCCTGTTAGGGACCCTTTAGACTACTACTCCTATATAGTGGTATACGTGTGCATTTCCATATTTGTCCAAATTGGACACCAATCCTTTAGAGAATTTTTTGTATTACTTCTTTAAATATATTGATATTTTTAAAAAATTTTTAAAAAACTTCCAAAATTATTCCAGAAATATGACTCCCGGAATCCTGTTAAGGACCCTTTAGACTACTACTCCTATATAGTGGTATACGTGTGCATTTCCATATTTGTCCAAATTGGACACCAATCCTTTAGAGAATTTTTAACATTTTTCTTATTGAAATATTGATTTTTTCAAAAATTTTTTACAAAACTTCCAAAACTATTCCAGACATATGACTACCGGAATCCTGTTAAGGACCCTTTAGGCTACTACTCCTATATAGTGGTATACGTGTGCATTTCCATATTTGTCCAAATTGGACACCAATCCTTTAGAGAATTTTAACATTTTTCTTATTGAAATATTGATTTTTTCAAAAATTTTTTAAAAAACTTCCAAAACTATTCCAGACATATGACTACCAGAATCCTGTTAGGGACCCTTTAGACTACTACTCCTATATAGTGGTATACGTGTGCATTTCCATATTTGTCCAAATTGGACACCAATCCTTTAGAGAATTTTTAACATTTTTCTTATTGAAATATTGATTTTTTAGAGAATTTTTAATCTTTTTTATTAAAATATTGATTTTTTTCAAAAAATATTTTTTTTATTTTTCATATTTTTTTAAGTTCTGAAATTTTCAATTTTCATTTTCTGAAAATTTCAAAGTATTTATTTTTAATTTTTCATGTACTTTCTGTTAAATGCTTAACAGTGCTCTGTTAGCTGCAAAAAGAGCAATGTTAAAAAATGTGGTTTGTGTCTCTGCTAGTTAAATTCGAATTTAACTTCACACACATAAACGCACAAATTATTAAGATTGCATTTTTCACAATAACGTGGGTAAATTTTATTTTTAACTATTATTTTTTTATTTTGTTTAAGAAATATTTTTTGTATTATTATTATAATTTCTTTTCTTTAAAGTTGAACTTCAAAAAATTGTGTTAAATTTTTGTTATTTTTATTAATCCAGTTATTGTTATATGAAAATGTGGTAATATTTTTTGTTCCAATTTTTTTCAAAAACAAATTTGTGCCATTTATTAATATTAATTTATTTATTATGTCACGTTTTTAATAATTTATTTTGTTTTTTATTGGTTTTGTATTTTTTACGTTTTAATCTAGGGCCGCCCGTTTCATGTTTACTTTGTTGTTTTATTTTTTCGTTTCTTTATGATTGTTTAGTTTTACATGAGTTTGACGGCGGACGCGTTTTAACGTAAAATTTGCCGCTTTAGAGTTGTTATTACAAGCAAGTTTAAAATTGAACTAAACTTGTTGTCAGGTTTTGAAATGAATTCCCATGTTACAAAAAGCTTCAATAACAGCTAAGAGTATGAAATTGTTTCTCTCTAGCTCACTCTTTGTTGAGGTGATGGTGAGATCATTAGAAGCAGAAAGAGTGTATGTGAGAATGATTTGTTATTTTGTTTAGAAGGAGAGTATTAGTATGATATTCAATTAAAATGTTTAATTGATTTAAGGTAAAAATTATAGAGAATTTGGAATTCATTTTCGATAGATAGATGGATAGATAGATAGATAGATAGATAGATAGATAGATAGATAGATAGATAGATAGATAGATAGATAGATAGATAGATAGATAGATAGATAGATAGATAGATAGATAGATAGATAGATAGATAGATAGATAAATAGATAGATATATAGATAGATAGATAGATAGATAGATAGATAGATAGATAGATAGATAGATAGATAGATAGATAGATAGATAGATAGATAGATAGATAGATAGATAGATAGATAGATAGATAGACAGAAAGATAGATAGATAGATAGATAGATAGATAGATAGATAGATAGATAGATAGATAGATAGATAGATAGATAGATAGATAAATAGATAGATAGATAGATAGATAGATAGATAGATAGATAGATAGATAGATAGATAGATAGATAGATAGATAGATAGATAGATAGATAGATAGATAGATAGATAGATAGATAGATAGATAGATAGATAGATAGATAGATAGATAGATAGAATAGATAGATAGATAGATAGATAGATAGATAGATAGATAGATAGATAGATAGATAGATAGATAGATAGATAGATAGATAGATAGATAGATAGATAGATAGTTATATTATTAACACGTAAATCAGCTGTCTATCGTCTGTGAAGTTGCCAGATTAACAGAAATGTGTTTGTGAAGACTTCCATCGTTTTCAACTTTTAAGCGATTTTGTTATTTAATTAACAACACTCTTGTGGGTGTGCAATTTCAAATACATTTTATAGCGAATCTCTCATAAATTACAAGTCTAGGCGTTTTTTTCATTTCAGCATACAAATGATGTCATTTTAATAAAAAATGCAAAAGAAATTAATTTTATTACATAAACATAATTTGCTTAAAAAAACTGTTACTAAAAATAACTTACTGCAAAACTAAATTGATATTATAGAAATCTCTGTTAAATGAACGTGACTGTTTCATAATTTAGCATAGAGAATGAAGAAAAAACCTTCTTTGAACTAAAGAAATTGAAAATTTTCAAAGTAATCTATAACTATAACGTATCAAGTATTAATACCAAGAAATATTAAAAGTTTAGTTGGTTTTTCTAAGCATTTCCATATTTTTTTCATTTTTTTATTATGGAATCTAGAAGTTTTAATCAACCATCATATTCGTCCGACCAGTTGTCGTCTCCATATGTACTTGCTTTATGTTCTTTGCAAGTGTTTTGATAAATCTAACAGTACATTAGTCAGTTTTTCCTATTTTTTTCTTTTTCATCTTTTCTTTTATAATCTTCTTAATAATCTTTCGATTGTTAGACGTGAGCTTTCGCTTGATGTGATTATTTTATAGTTGTAACTTAAATCAGATGTCTGTCTGTTTTCTCCTATAAAATTTTCTAATGTATAAAAATCATTTTTTATTACAATTTGTATGCATTAATAAAGAATATAATTTTGCTCAGTTGGCATTTTTACTGTTAAAGTTGAGATTGTTATAATTGTATTTTAGAAATTAAAATTAAAAAGAAATCCCATAATAAACTTTATATAGCAAAAAAGAATTTCTTGCTCAAGCAATATTTTAAAGACACATTAAAGCAAATTATTATAAATTGAGAAAAAGGTTTTGAAACAGAAAATTTACATAAGAATTTTTTAAAAAGTTTGAAATTTCTGGGAAAACATTAAAATTTAAAATTTTTAAAACATTAAAATTTTTGATAAAAAAAAAATCTTACTTCACCCACATCTTTCAATCATATAAATTCATACCCTCTGGCAACTCCTCAAATAAAACTAAATGCAAAAATTGCAAAAATAACAACACTTTATATTGAAGGAATTTCGCCACTTAGAAATTCCAAAACTATTCGGAAAATACTAAAAAAATAACGAGTCTAGCATAAAAAAGAATCCTAAAAAATATATGTACATGTAAAATAATAACTACATAATAAATATACCATTAAAAGAAAAACATTCTCATCTACCTTACAACTCACTACACCTTAAATATTAAAATGTAACACAGAAAATAAATACAAAAACAAAAGCAAACAATTTCCCAAACAACAAAACAAACGGTTTGTATGAGACGTGTATTAGCGGTGGTGGCGGCGGTATTATTAAAATTTTCAGTCAGTAGTCGTATGGAATACTTTTTTTGCTGCTACTTTTTTTTGTTCTTTTGCTACATATTTAAGGTTGTGTGAATGCATGTATATTTATGGTACAAATGTGACGCATTCCCTCATGAATCTTGTTTGTAATTTGAGCATTACACGGCAATGGTGACGGTGTATTGGGTTGGATGGTGGTGGTGGTGTTGTTGCTGTTGTTGTTGGATACAACAACAAGTATGCATGCATGAATGCAGCAAGCACAATTATTATGCTGCAATAAGTTCAATTCATTCTTTAGTTGCTAGCGCAATGCATTCATTTTGTTTTTGTTTTTCTTGTAGTTTTTCATTTACTGTGTGCAATGTTGTTGCTGTTACTGTGCTCTCTTATATTACTTGCAGCAACTTTTAGCATGATGATAATCATGCAGTGTTGTAGTTGTTTCATTTTTTTTCTGCTACATTTCATACATTTGTACTAAAAATAGATAGAATAAACGACTAAAAATAATAAACAACAAAAATACCAAAAGCAAACATAGCGACATACATTTATACACACAGAGCAGAGTGTATTTGTAAAAAACAACATAACAACAAATGAATCTCAGACAAAAGCAAAATAGAATAAAATCCATGAAGTAACAACAACATATTGTAGAGTAGCAAATATTCTAATATGGCGTTTCAATAAACACACGACAATAACAACATCATCATTATAAAAATGACAAAATTTGTTTTTGTTTTATTTTAATTCTTATTATAGGGAGGGCGGGTTTGTTTGTTGTTATGTATTATGATGACAATGATGTATAGAGAGTTGCCTAATCAGATTTTCTTGTTATTAATTTAAAGGGGATGCCGTAAAACCAAAACAAACATACACACACTCTATAGGTTTTTTATACATTATGAAATTAAAAGTAAAAATAAAAATATTTATCACCTGTCATTGTGTTTGTTTTTGATTGTTGCATTTTTTTGAATTGTGTGTGAGATGTTGAAAAAACAGGTGTGTTTTGTGTGTGCTTTTATGGTAAAAAAAAAAATAAAAACAAAATAATAAAAATAAATGAAGGTGACTCTTACTTCAAATTTATCACACTCTCACATACACACTCACAAATGAATGAATATTATCACGGTACAAAAGGCAATTGGAAATGATAAGCAAAATATTTTGCGAAAAATCAAAGGAAAACAAATTAATAATAAGAAAAAAACTGGAAAATATATTTTGGAATGTGAAATAAAGTGAAATTTAATTATGACATGAGAAAACATTTATTTTAATAATTACACTATTTTTTAGAAATTGTTGAAATTTAAAGAAGAAAATTTACAAGTATTCAAAACATTAAAGTTTATGATAAATCTTTGTAGGGTCCTGATGTATCTACCTAGGTAAAATAAGTCGGAAAATCAAAAAAGTACAATTTGAATGACGAAAGAGTACCAGAAAGTCTCCTTTTAATTAAGGTGTTTAGAAACAAAGGTAGCAATCTCCATTTCATTCATGATCTTACTATAAAACTTCGGATCCAAATTGAATTGAATTTCTTTCAAACTTATTTTAGATACCTATTCTTCTAATAGTTATCATTTTATTTAGTGTGTAAAAGAATCAAAATATAAATATTTATACATACATACATACGTACATATGTACATACATATGCAATTCCAACTAATATTTGATAAGGAAGCCAAGCCATACACTGCATTCCCTTACAAAAACCTACTCATAACCTAAAATAAGTTATTTTTCTTTATTTCCGCCCTAATTAGGCCAAAGTTAATTTGTTAATTACCCACTTCTAAATTTCAATTAAGTTTAGTAGTACAACGAAATATAATTATGAAGCAGGTAATAATTAACAAAAAATCAAGGTCATTTAAATAAACAAAGATATTTTAAGATTTCTAAATATTTAAAACAACTAGCAATTATTTAATTTAATAACTGCAACTAAGACAACAACAATTACATAAAAAAAAAACAAATAGAAAATCTACAATTCTTGTCAATAATGGGCGCGTCCCTAAAGAAAATTCAAGATAAATAAAACAGAACAGAATGTAGTATAATAAACAAGGAAAATGAAATGAAGAAAAACTCCTACAACAAAAAGAGGAAAAATATGAAAAATGTCCTTCAAATTGTATTAAACGAATGAGTGAAAGATGCTGAAAAAGATGTAGGAGTCGTGTTTTTACTGAGAAGAAAGGCAACAGCAAAAAAGGATAATAATAACAAAAACAAAAAGAGAATTACAAGTTCTATTACAACAAACAACTACCCATAGAAAGAAAGTTAACAACAAACATAATAATAACCAAAAAAATATACAGCTTCAGCAGCAGACATTTGTCTGGGGCCAAAAATAAATACAACAAAAACATCAGCAACAAAACTAAACAACCCCCTTTACATACTTTTTTCTTATTTATTTTTATTGTTGTAGACATGTTGTATGTAAATTGAAATTTTTTATGTGTTTATTAATTATTAACGTTTTGCAGGTGTGAGTTGACATTTTAATAAGAAAATTATTTATAAATAAAAAATACAACAACAACATCTTCAAATGTTACGAAAATGAAAACTGTGAAAAAGAAAACAAAAAAAAACAAGAT